TTGGGATAATAATTTACAATTTATACTATTTAAATGTAATGTTTTTTTGGTTTAAACTGCACTTTCCAAAGCAATTTGTTAATTTTTAATGTCTGTCGATTATCATTGACCTGTGGAAATATTTTGTTTCTGCCACATTCGAATAATTTTGATACAGAGGGCGACAATGAGTATATAAATTCTTAGAAAGACAACTTTGTATGATTCTCCTTGCACAAGGACTCGTTATCATGTAAAAAACTGTACCATATACGGAAGCAAACGTTATTTTTGATAATTTGTCTTTTATTTTATAGTTATATGTTTTCTTCCTCTCCATAAAGACCTTATCATCTTAATTTAAAGTCAGACAAACAACTGAATTGTACCAATGAATACACTTTTAGTTAAATGCTAAACATCGTTACTTTGTTTCTTTAATGATTAAGGAAGCCTTATAAATTTGATTATATTTTGTTACAAGGAATTTGATTTTAGAAGAAAATAATAAGAAGTTTTGTAGTTTTCTGCCTGCAATCGAACGCTTGAATTGGATAAGTCTCCGTAAGGATGATTATCATTGTTACAGAGTATTCTCTTAAAAGAAAATTATCTAAAAAATTATGTTAAAATTTTATATATTTAGAGATAATGCAGATTATTTCTATCGTCTGGACTTAGTCTAGATAATATTTGAGAACGAAAGCATTTTTGTTTCCTTTAACTTGTGTCTGATATCAAAACATGCATATGTACCTGTGTAACGCACTTTGGGGTGACAACAAAGTGCCTGACGCACCTTTGGGTTGGACTCCAAAGTACGTAACGCACTTTGGAATAAAACCCTTAAGTACGTTTGACCCCAAATTACGGTGTTTCACAGTGGTTGTCTAAAACATATTAACAGATTGTTTATTGGGTGCAAGTAATAGGTTAGGTCGGTCTTCGATCCTGGCTGAATAAAAAGCAAGATGTCCGTAACATATTTTGTTACCGTCAGTACTCATGTTCGAATGAAATTGCAAGAAGCTAACAATATCAATGACTTGTTTGATAATAAGTTCCCGATGACACAAAGAAATTTGCTTCAAAACTTCTCATCAACAACGGCTAATTTTGCCGTAAATTACAAATTTAAAAATTTTTGCTTTCAATACCTCTTGAATACCCGATGAAAAACAATCTTTAAATAATATAAAATATTTAGAATGTAATCAAAAGCAACTAGACAACAACAATTAGAATTGTGAATGGGTTTGCATTAAATTTCGCGATGCCGCTTTTTATAATTAAAAGATGTAGCAATAATGAATCTAGTTATTATTAAATTGTGTGTAAGAGCATTCAAAATAAAATTACTTAAGATATTGTTTACTTAAGTTAAGATGGAGATATTTGACACTATCACATATTTATGGGTGGTGGAATATGAAGTGAACCAAAAGGAAAACAGCGTAATGGTCTGACAATGTAGGGTATTAGAAATTATATATCAGATTTTTTGAATGACATTTTTATGATACAGTGTTTCCCATTTGGGACATAGTACCATTTCCTAAATACGTTTATTTTTTGAAAACATCAAACTCTGACTCCGTCAATCCTTATTCTGTTTTTTTTATCATATACATAAACAGCATCACAGCAGCAAATATGGCTTTAAAACATAATCAACATTATTTGGGACCACTTCATTTGCTGGCATAGGAGTCTCTGGACATCTATTTTCAAAATCCTAATGAGATTCCTGTTTATTTCAATGGGTCAGCATATTGTTTTGTTTTTACATTGATGTTCACACTAATGTAAAGAAAGACTATGAAGAGAGACTGTGAAGATCTGTTAATGTATGTTGTTTATAGAATGATTGTGTTGCTTTCTTAATATTATGATATATTGTTATCTTTTTGTTTAAGAAAAGTCTTAAATACAGTAGATTTTTATGAAGCAAACATAAAAATAACATAGAATTTTCGAACGTGGGACGAGGGTCCTACCCAGCTACTCCCAGACCCAGCCACACTTTTGCGACAAACGTGCCCCTGTGCCTTGCAAACTTCCTAGGGGAAAAGCCTGATAATCTAACTTAAATGGCAATTACGTCCCTTTAACAGTCGAAATCTCAACAAAGAGTCTAATGACGCTGATACAAAAGTCACGAACTGCTGCGCTCTGATTCTATTTCTATCTTCTGCAAAATGCAGCACGATTGGGGGATTTACTTTCTGAGAAGAAATGACCATCGTTAACCGTAATGCTGTAATATCATATACATTGATATATCCCAAGTACAAAAGGGCGAAAGGGGTGTTTATACTGGGGCCTCCGTGGCCGAGTGGTTAAGGTCGCTGACTTGAGATCACAGGTCCCTCACCGCTGTAGGTTCGATCCTCACTAGGGTTGAAATCTTTCATGTGAGGAAGCCATCCAGCTGGCTTACGGAAGGTCGGTGGTTCTACCCAGGTGCCCGCTCGTGCCAGAAATAATGCCCGAAGGGGCACCTGGGGTCTTCCTCCACCAATAAAGCTGGAAAAAATCGACGAAAAAATCTCGGCGGGACGCTCTAAGATGGCCCGACTTGAGTGTACGGTCGCCCATATGGGCTTACCGGCGGCGACCTTAAATAAACGCATTTAAAAAAATATACTGGACCTTTTCTAGAAACAATTCCCTGTTCATTATTTAAAGGGACTCTTTTTCATGTAATGAAACAGTATTGTACGTTTCTGATTTCTTCGAAATAGACGAAGTTTTTTCAATAATTTTTTTCCACTTTTATTTTTCATCTCAACTGTATATACATTTAACTATGTATTATGATAGAAAACTACTTTGAAGATTCGTGCACATTTCGTTTTGAAATTATTACTTTCGATATTCATGTTTGTTCAAAGCGTTCGCAACAGTTTTGGCATGTCACACCCTCTTACATTCTCGTTTGATTCGCAAGCTTGTTTTTATGCAATATCAAAGTAAAATACATATCTACTATCAAAATGCTTAGAAATCGACCTATTCTTGAAGTTAGAGAACATTCGTGCATAACGGTCCTCTGTTGTTTGAAAACGTATGTCAGCAGCGCAGAGCTCAAAATACCCTTCCGGACAACGTCTCTTACAACGTGACGTATGCAATAAGCCACCCACTTTACAATGAAGTGACTTTCTTAGTGATCCCACTTGACGTACATTTCAATGCCATATTTAATTTTTGGCTTTTACTCGCTTTTTTGCCGAAACAGATGTTCTACTCAGACTTTAAATATACACGAAATAGCTCACTTTTGTGACAATGATTTTTGCCCGATTGCAATGAATCACATTTAGTTTTTATTATTAATAACTGTGTGTGTCCTGAAAAGTAAGTAAAGCATATTTATTGAATCAGTACTTTATCTTAATGCTGAACGATGTATGATAATGAATCTAAACGTCTTTTAAGTAATGGTTAATCTTTATTTTAATAACTATAAAACTATAAAATACCTTTTAAAAACTCGTTTATTCTGGAAGTATCATAATTAAACCTGTGTTTTCACCTCTGACCGCTTTTTAAAATGTCTACATCATTTAATATTTATGCATTCGACGATGTAAATTGACATACGTTTAAAATATACATTTTGTGATTAACTTTGGATTCGCAAAACATTAACCCTTTCGCTGCCAGAGGGTTATTGTTTTATTGTTCACCTATTTGCCAGAGGATTTTCTAAGAAATTACTAAATTATTAATTAATATAATTATTATTATTTGTTATTAGTATTATAATAATTATATATGGTTTCAAATCCGTTAGTAAAATAATAATTATTGTCGATGGTATAATTTTCTTTATATTTATTATTATTTTTATTATCATTATTATTTATTTATTATTATTATTACTATTATTATCATAGAAACGGCTAAAGACGTCCATATGGCAAATACGCCGAAAATAACAGGGACGGCTTAAGCCGTCCCTATGGCAGTGAAAGGGTTAATTTAGTTAAAAAGATTCAATTATTTCAACTTTAAAAGCTACTGGGCCTAAATACACCAACATATTTGTTTAACAGTTATGAAAATCAAACAAACCTATTTTCCTTATTTGTTTATGTTTCTTTGTAACAAAAATATGCCTGACTGTATGATGTTTCATGCTGTCGCTAAGATGTAACTTAGGGTTGAATTCCTTTGACAATAGCATTAGCAATAGCCTAGCTAGTTAGAATTAAAATATTAATATCATTTTAAGAAATAGAACCTTGTCTGTATTTATATGAAATATAGGAGTACATTTGTTGCTATTTGTGTAAAGTTCATTCAACTTTCATAACGTTCACTTGCAATAAGACAATTTCATCAAATAATTGATATAAAATGAAATAAGTATCGGTTCTATTCCAGTGGGGAAAATGAATAAACGGCGTTTAAGATATATTTCATTGATAACTTTACTCTCCGAGGCGCTTTGTGTACTGTTAAACATTACTCTATTTAAATTTTCCTTACATTGGAACCAATTTCTCTTTGTTATAAGGGGTAAATTGTGGTCATTATACGAATAGGAAACATGACGAACGGATTAGTACTCGTTGTTCTGCTTTTATGGAACTCATCAGTTATTTGCACTGACGCATCTTTTCTAAATTTAGGTAAATGGTATCTTTAAAGTCAATAAATAAGAAAAAAATATTACATATTTGATAATACAATAAATGAACGTTTTAAGGTTCAGTTACTTCAGTTTTATTTTATGTCAGGCGAACGTATTTATTGAAATTTATTTAAATGAAAATAGCTTTCGAATTTAGAATTTCCTTTACGTGTCTGATGGAATTATTATAAAAGGAAAAATTCAAGTGGTTGTATTTGGATCCGATACTTTATGAACGCATGCGATACATTTATGAACTATTACAACATGATTATTGGTCATAGTGAATTAATAAAAAAATATAATGATACTTTAATGATTTTTTTAATTAAATTAAGTGTTTGCTTTAACTATTTCATCGATAAACAAATAAACAAAAATGTATATAGAAAGGACATTGCTACATCTAGCATCCAAGAACATGAAAGGTTCATTCAAATTGATAAAATCATTTACAAACTTTGTTTGAGTGTTTCATTATTATATGAAATATTTTACTTTTTCAAGCATATATGAAAGATAGTAATATAATAAATAGAGGATATTGAATGAGTGTAGTTTCATACTAAATTTATTGAACGAGTTGAATGAAATCATATTATATAATATTGTTTTATTCAACGAATTCAATAAATTTAGTATTAAATCTACACGAATATAATATTTTATTTATCACATATATAAAATAAGAACAGTAAACTGTTATAATTAGTAATTTTTAAATGACGCGCCCAAAGTGTAACGCAAACATTAGCGCGCTTTAACGCTATGTTTCTATATAGCGCAAATGACGTCACGTCAAAGTGTTATTACACTAGTGTAATATCGTTTTTATTAAATGGGTTTATTACACTCCTGCTACGCGGTTTATGTGATAAACTTAATTTCGTCACAGAAAAAATAGAGATTTACAGATACAGACGCAGTTGTCGGGTGTAATATGTATCATAATGATAAATGGTGGAGATGAGCATACATTTTACATGCTTTATTATATATTTTGACAGGCATTGTTAAAGAAGGCACGACTGGGTTTTACAGGAACACAGAAATGTTTTATTCGTATAACCTCACATTTTACAGATACGTTGTTGATGTAAACGAACAATATCAAACGTTTAAGGCTGGTTTGTTGGTCTTCTGTACTTTTGTTTCCATACTTAGCAATTGTAATTATTCAATTTGAAGCGTAGGACCTCAACAAAACACTCGGAAGGCAATAAGTGTGATCATGCCAATTACCTTGAGTTTTGAGAAAGCAGTTTAATCTAAAAAAATCAGGTTTATTTCTTCTAAGTTCATCGCTAAATCCTACTATCAGTATTGGTTTTCTAATAAATGAATTTTTATTGTGACATTTTTTTTTTCTGTACCACAATTGTAACCTTCGCGTGTGTAAATGTCATTTGTTATTAAAGATTCACTTGATATAAAAACATGCGACGTCAGTAAGGGACAGATCCTTAATGCCTCTCTGTGAGATAGGACGTTTGCGATCATTATATTACTGCGACAAAACACCGTCCTTAAAAAGATGTTTTCTCGTAACACTGTTCAATTTTTGTTCGAGTAAATGGGTAGAGCAATAGAGTAATTCAAATAAACAAATCATAAATATTATCAATTAACTCTTTATAACTTCATAAATGACATTCGTATTTGAATATAGTTACTTACAAAGGTTGTTTATATTAGAAACTCACAAGATATAGGGATTCAAAACATAACTTCAATAACAGTTATTACTAAGCCAGCATTAATTATTCTCAATTTCTCGAGCCGCAGCAACTCTTGATAGATTTTGTTCTCTTAATGTTGACTCACATACTTTTACTGACTATATTATGACAAAAACACGTAAAAAGTTGTATATACATGTGTTTGCCTACGACCTATTTAATGATTTAACAGACTAAAATAGCATTGTTTTCATTCAAGGTCGAGCCTAATATTATATTCCATTTTTTACCTGTATGTGTTTTTCTAATCTTACTGAAATGTTCTTTTTTTTGTAAAAGCATTATTAAGGATTTGTAAAAACTATACGTTTATTAATTTCGTTATAATTATACTTATTTTCTTCTGAAATGAACAGATTGAGTTATATTCTTCTAAAATAAAACAAACTGAATTATGAAACAAAAAAAACCCCCTCAATATTTGGCAATCATTATATTGAGTCACTCTGGATGTCAACTCTTTAACTTTAATTGTTTTTATGTTATTAGTTACAAAAGATATATTTTTTTGTAGAGTTTGACGTGAATGAACATTTGACAAACGAATAATTAATATGAATAACAATGATATATTTCTTAATTTACCTCTATAAAACCTTCATCTATGATTGATGAAATCTATATTCCAGTATATGAATTAGACAAGAAGCACGGTGTTGATGTGATAATAGTTTTGCATGAAGGAAACGTTAAAACTTCCGGTTTGAGGCCATCTGTACCACTGATACACTGGGGACGTACACCCAAGTATATAAATGAGGTAAAATATCAAGTATCCTGAAACGTATATCGTACAATATACACGTAGTCTGGTAAACACATTTACAAACAAAGCAATAATGTAACAGATGTACATTTATAGAAACAAGTATACTAATATAATAAATGACTTTTTTTTTATAGAATCGTGTACTTCTTTACGCTTGTTTAACAAAATGAGAATATTTACGCCCTCATTTTTATCTGGAAAGGAAGTGTTTGATACAAAAATGTAAAATAGGGACCAGCTGTATATTTATGGATAGTTTCAACCGACGATTCGATGGATTGTTCTAAACGAGTTTTCATACATGTACCTTTAGCTAAACCGAAGATTGTATACGTTTGTCTGATAAGATGACTCGCCGTAGGGCTTTATATTGATCATACACTAAGTCAATTTGCTAATGAGATAACAAATCAGTAACTATATAGATACAATCGCGTTAAATATTTAAAGTGACATTATGCCCATCCAAGGGTATAAAATAGGTGATTATGTGAAAGTCAAAATAAATTTTCATTTTGCTATATTTCCTCTTAATATAAATAATCATTTCACATAGACAATAAAAAGCGCATGGATCCTAACGAACTTTTCGTAAATACAAGGGCAGTCTTTTTACAGTCATATAAAGCAGATTTAGATTTTATTCTAATAATTTTTCAATATGAACTGTTGGTCAATCACCATTTTAACAGTCAATCTTTTGAAATATATAGTCATTTCAGGTGAAATTCACTATGAAAGTATGAGCATAATGTCAATTTAACAGAACATTACATTCATTTGATTTGTAAACAATACGTCATTTAAATGTAATACAATTTATCATAATTATTGATAACGATTGCGTGTATATTATTCAGATATATTTAATCATGCTGAATTATTATCAAATTGTTTGACGATAAAGAAAGTTCGCTAATATTTATTGTCATAATTTATTTGGCGTAGAAAGATCACTTTTCTCAGTAAAATGCTATGTTGATAAAATAAGAAGTAACAATATGCCGTATATAAAGCGTAGACTGGACAATTGAAATTGTTGTATGTTTGGTTTGTTCGAGAAAATGCAATGACGGCAGTATACGTGCAATGTTTCGTCAAATTTTATTTCGCATTGTTCCAAAGTTATCAAAAAAATCACATTTGCCGACATGAAAAAATAAAGAAATGTTTTATCTATCAAGTGGTTGTTATAAAAAAATATAAATTTCGTATTATGTTCTTTGGGATTGATAATCAAGTATCACTTATGAATCTTCCAGGAATTTAAGAACTCGATTAAAATTGTCTAAAGAAACATTTCATTGTCAATATCGTCGGAGAAGTAATGGTACTAGTACATAACAGTAAGTTGTCAGGATATGTTATAAAGATTAACAAAATTGTTGTTTAAGCAACTTTCTTTTCATTTTATTTGTAAGAGATCTCTAGTATACAAACATACCAATACAGATTTCAAAGGAAAGGAATTGTGTGGCGTGGTAAAGTCTACAAATATAAAAGAGATATATTGTCTGAGCAACACAGAAGTGTTTAAAATCCTAACGTCAATGAATGGAGCAACCGGATTCAGAAAGCAGGTAAATAAATTAAAAAAAGAAATTTAACATCTAAATTACTCTAAAAGGAATATTAGGCATGTCCCTATCACAAATATATTTGATACTAAAAGTACCTTGTTAAATTAATATTAAACTTTGAACTCAATAAAATAATTATGTTTTTAACAGAAATACAGGTTTTGTTTACTTATGGAAATCATTTGCAAACATGTGTGAATATAAATCATTTAAAAAAATATCGACAACCTTTTAGCGAATCAAAACATTTTCAACTAATACAATCTAAAATAGATACTCAGATACTTTAACAAATATTATATTGATTGGGTATTACAATGTATGAAATTAAATTGGCAAGGCACCATTTTTAGTTAATTACATTAATTAGGAAGTCATAATTTGTTCTATTATTTTTCAGCTTAAAGATATATAGTGCTTAAATTTGATATTACAAAATAATGATGAATGTTACAAAGTCTCGTCTTAAATATATAATAAACATAGTTTGACTTCATAAAAAGTAGTCATGTGTTTAAGATTTTACAAACTACAGGTGGTCGCAATATGAATATCATATAGTGTCATTAAAAAATCTGGCAGTATTTCTTAAAAGACCAACTTTCCTTGACCTGTAATATAGAATGCTTATATTATCAATTATTTTAATCGAATTAGACATATTCAACAAGATTTTCATAATACAAAAAAGTTTCAGTGATTGCAATATTTTACCCAAGGATGACCATAGTATATGTTTATTAGTCACCTTTTTCCTTATATAAAAAAAGTTCGTTACAAAAATGATCTATTAAAACAAACGGCAATTTTGCCGCTCTTCAATGTTTCATTATTGAATGATAAGATAAATTTGATAAATAAAAAATGGTCCAATTTGGTGCTATTTGAAGTGGATTTTCATTTAACGTATACAAAATTATTAACTCAAAACTTGTCACACGTTTGGTAAAATTATAAAACACCTTTATACTCAAGAAATAAAACGTAATTTTAAAGGCAAATTATGTCCTAGAAATGCATTAATGTTTATTTTTCATGACAACGATGCCTAAGCAGTTAAAGGCAACATAATAAAATTTATTTTTCAAAAGCTTTAATTTTTCATGTCCTGCTTTAGTTTCTTAAAGGTTACTGATTGGCGAATTACCTGAACCATCTTTTGCCTATGTTTTTGTTTGGCAGATGTACAGTTATATTGATGGAAGTCAAAATGTTACTTTGTTTACATTTTGCTTCTTTCATGACAAATACTTTCACATTCAGCGCTATTTCGTATAGATGATACCCATCTAACATGCTCTTTAACCATTATTTTAACGTTATAAAACGTATGGCAATAAACGAAACATTTAATCATATTATAAGCATAATGCGCCGTTAATATATAAAACACGAGTAAGATAAGCCTGGCTTTTGCTATTACAGGTAGAGTTACACGTATCAAGTATTTTATCTACAATCATTGCCGGGTTGTTGAAGTGGACAGAAGTGTTTATATTTTATGAAGACGACACTGGTAGAAATTAGTATCACATCAATTTGCGCATTTAGTTGATTGTTTTAAACCTAAGTATTTTTTCCCAAAGAAATGAGTAGCAAAATATAAATTTCCATTGAGCCAGCATTTTACATTAGAATGTAAAAATATTGATTGTTCACTATCATTTAATTGCATTTATAGTCATTTTGATATCATAAAAGAGTCGAATGAATAAAAGTGCTTTATAATAGTACATTATATCTAGATCCCCGCGAGGGGTTTGACATTCATTGAATATAGATAGATAATTGTGCAGTTCAAATACATAAAAAATGTATCGACTCTTAAGTGTTTAACATTCCTTAAGTACAAAATTCCTCAAGTACAAAATTTAAAAAATACCATAACGAGTCGTAGTTAAATAATATTGAAGTTAGCCAAACGCGGTTATATTCAGATATTGCAGGTTTTGCTTAATTGTGTCTTCATTGACCGCAGTGTTTACTGCAAGCTCCCTAGCACCGGCTAGTCACGTTTATTTCATGCTCTCTTCTCATCTACAGAACACGAAAGCTCTCGGCTTATTAACAGTGTTTCAAAAGAAAATGTCAAGGCAATTTTATACAATATTTACAAAGTGACAGATCTTCATAAACTTTTATTAGATGCTTATATTCGCACTGTACCAACTACAGGTAGTATCAACTTCGTGGTTCTCTGTAAATTTAATTGCATTCGACGACTTTTACATACGGTAAGTATACATAATACACTTTGGTGATTAAACAGAACACAAATATTGTATATACATGTATATAGATTAATTTAATTTATTTGACGCGAGTATAGACACAATCAGCAATTCTGAATCTTGGATGTCGTTTATGTTGTTTCTCAATTAAGTGATAATTTAGTTTGTAGCCTGTTTATTTTCATTTGCCATCAGTATTTTGTTTGTTTCTTGTTTGATTATTTTGGTAAGATGGCTGTCACATGTATCCCAATTACATCCAACCAAAACATAATTGTAAGTTGTAAATACTAAATAATAATTAGTGTTGTGATATTGTACAGGCGAACACATTTGACAGTAAAAACAAGCTGCCGAAAACGTTGATAAAACAGTTCTCAAGATGGCTTATTGCGAGTCTCGACAACGACAGAAATGTTGGCACAACCATCACGGAATGTGCAAATGACCTTGATAATGTAGCAGTGATTTCCTTTCCAAGACTTCAAGATGAAGATTCTCCTGCGGTAGGTACCTTTCTATGACTGATGTATATGAAATATATGACATTGTACTATTATTCATGTGACTAAAAGAAAAGCAGGTTTAAAACAAGAAAATAACACAAACGGTGTACATTTAAACTTTTCAAAACATTAATTTTGCCGAAACCGAAATACAACAGCGATGGTCCATTACAAAATGCATTTAACTGCCGCGTTTCCGATCATATCTACGTTCTCAAAAAATTGTACTGAAAAATGTGATAAGGTAGATAGATACACAGTTTCTTAACGTGTCGTTTTTGTACCAAAATAATGCTAAAACAACATCATTCAAGTTGAGAAAATGACAATGAATTATTTAGAACTCAAACTTTAGTTTAATATTCAAAAGTTATTTTCTGGTTCGATTGTGTAGGATAGACGTATAATCCATTTCGTTCCTGGACCAACCAGTACTGAGCAAAAAGCGAAGTTTCTTGCTCTAGCTAACCTTTACAGGGGTTTGAACCAACGTGACTATTACTCTTTTGGTTGCTGGTCTGACGCGTTAACGACTTGCCCATGCTGCAAACAACATTGCATAAGTCAAGTATATTGAAAGCCTTGACTGTCTAATAATTATAAACCTAAACTTTGTTATGTCCAAATAGCAATATATTGAGTCAACCTTTCCTTATACAATGTGCACTAATGAATATATTATGTGAAACCATCCTAATCTATAGTCAACAGAACAATACATGTATATGATGTTAATGTGTCTTTATATGATGTCAATTTATCATTATACGATGTGCATATTTGAATATATAAAGTGGAACCATCCTTATATAAGGTCAAATAACTATATATCATGTTTTTCTGTCCTTATATGATGTAAAGGTATGAATAAATCATATGGAACCATCTTTATATAGAGTCAATAGAATATAATGTCAATATTTCCTTATATCATTTCAATCTGTCAATATACGATGGGCATTTTTCAGTATATTATGTGAAACCATTCGTATATCGAGTCGAGCCATAATACCAGTAAATTATGAGAAATCATCCTTATATGGAGTCAACACTCAATCAAACCGAGCCTGCAACATTTTCAATTTTGCCGTGTTGGGCTTGTTTATGGGATTCTGTATTTATCTATTTAGCATTATATGATGTAAATGTGTCATTATATGATGCCAATCATTCATTATACGATGTACATTTAATGTAATGAATATTTCATGTGAAACTATCTTTATATAGAGTCATAATAACAGTATATATTATCGCAATCTGTCTTTATATATGTATGATGTCAGTCTTTTATTATATGATGTGCAATTACAAATATATTATGCAGAACCATTCTTATATAGATTCAAAACAATACTATATTATGTAGACTCGTCTTTATATAGAGTCAACTAAAAACTATATATATGTAAATGTGTCCTTATACTCCCGCAAGTCTTGGGATTTTATCACGTGTACTTCAACTGTTGAGATATAGACAGTTCCCGCTCCGAACAGTGCGTAGAGAAATATGACCCGGTAAATTTAACCCCGTCAGTATAATGACAAAAGCACACGATATAATGATGATTGCACTTCATATTAAGCAGCGGTCACTTAATTGTAGGTTCACATCGTATAATGAAAGATTGACATAACATATTAAACATATATTAGTTGGCATTATATAATAATGTTACCGCATAATATGTTCATAAATGCACACCGTATAACAATAGATTCTTATCGTATGATGAAAGATTGACATGATAATTATATTGATAAGTTGACAGTACATAATGATGCTTCCACATAATATATTCATGAATGCTCATAGTATAATGATTGGTCGACATCATTTAAAGACACACTGACATCATATATTGTTCTGTTGAATTCATATTAAAGGATGCGTCCACATAATGTATTCATAAGTGCACATTGTATTACAACAACGTTCATTTTTATAATCATTGATCAGTCAAGGCTTTCCATACAAGTACATGGCTATTTATATTCACTGTCTATATTCGTTTACTTGACTTATGCAATGTTGTTGGCGGCATGGGCGAGTCGTGTCAACATGTAGATATAAATGCATTTTTAATTTTATCACTAAAGTTAATAATCATACCCCACCACAAAAACGGTGCGGGCTATAATGAATTCGCTTTGTCAAGTCGGTCAGTCGGTCCGTCCGTCCGTCCGTCTCCGTTATCGTGTCCGCTCTATAAATCCTATACCAACTGAAAGATTTTCTTCAAACTTGGCTCAAATGTTCACCTCAACAAGGCGATTGCAGAACCCATGTTGCTCATGTGTCAGCTCAAGGCCAAGGTCAAAATTAATGTCAAATATCAAACAATCAAATATAAGACAGTATGTCGTGTCCGATCTGTAAGTCCTAGAGTAATTGAAAGATTTTCTCCAATCTTGACTCAAATTACCCTTTTGTCGGCTTAAGGTGAAGGTCACACTTGAAGGTCAAATATTGACTTAGAAAATATTCTTTAACTTTAACATGTATATGGATATTTCTGAAACTAGAAAAGGTATTTGCTTGAAACTTAAAATATATATGAAGTTATGTAGTGTGACAATACAATTATGCAGGTCATAACTCTGTATTGTATTTTGACAAAGCTATGCCCCTTTTTAAGTCTTCAAATTTACATACAATCCATTATTAGACACTATGTCGTGTCTGCTCTATAAATCCTATACTAAAGGAAATATTTTCTTTATACTTTACTCAAATGTTCACCTCACCTCAACAAGGTAATGTGCAGAGCCCATTTACATATGTGCCGGCTTCAGTTCAATGTCACACTTGAAAGGTCAAAAACTGACTAAGAAAATGGTCTTAAATTTTAACACGTACCTGAGTATTTCTGAAACTAGCACAGGTATTTGCTTAAAACTTAAAATATGTATGCGGTGTCACAAGCAAGATATGCAAGTCAAGTTTCATTACTTTGTATTGCATTTTAACAAAGTTAAGTCTTTAAATCTACATACAGTCAATACTAGACAATATGTCGTGTCCGCCCTATAAATTCTATACTTATAGCAGGATTTTCTTCAAACTTGACTCAAATGTTAACCCCAACAGGGCAATGTGCAGAATTTATTTTACCCTTGTGCCAGAGAAGGTCAAGGCCACACTTGAACGTCAAAACTTGACATAGAAAATGTTCTGAAATTTTGACATGTACTTGAATATTTCTATAACTAGAACAGATAATCATTTGAAACACACAATTTATAACGAGCGTCCCCTTGTGACAGTGTGCGTTCGCCATTTTACGGGTAATTTGTCAAATAATGGCACAACACCAGAAGGCGTCTTTTACACGACGAAAATGTATGATAAATAATTTATACAAAAATTATCTAACGAATGAGAGATTTGACCCAAATTTAATCGATACTGAATGATTCACTCACATTTAAATTCTAAATGCAAAGGAAAATAATTGATTTATTTGTATATTACTTTAATATACTTTTATTTGGTTTTGTTAACATCAGCCTAATAACAGACAGTCTTATTGCAATAAATTAAATCAAATGTTTACTTTATACCTCTATTTAAACTACAGAAGGCTAGCAGTTGGAGGTCAGTGGATAAATGTGAAGGTTATATAATAGAAACATTAATGTGGAAGAAACAAGGTCGTGCTTTAAGCTACGTGGCTACGTGTGGAAGCGTGGTAAAATTATCATTCATGCTGCTATGTTCCCAAACACAAAGTTCGGTTACAATGGAAGGCAGTTTTTGATATCTACATTGCATGTACATTTTAAAATCTTTACTATTTGATTATATTTTATATAATTTTAATTTTGACTTGTTAGGTATATGATTATATATAAAAAATTAAAAGCTCGAGAAGCTAAAATCTATAATCTTTTATAGACATTGTAAAGGTTAAATTGTCCAGTATAAAAACTTATGAGGCTATATTACCCAAAGCGAACAGTCGTTTATATTATATGTTATTACCTGCTTAGATTTTATATCACCCGAGCCGTTAGGCGAGGGTGATATTTTATCTTGGCGGGTAATATATCCACATGTTTCACTCCAAAACCAAAATAATAATTTTATTACGGTAACCCTTCCCTGCCGAGTTTAGACGATTTTTTTAAAAAAATCATTGCTGTTTCAAATGAAACGTCGAAATAAGATGCCCTTTAGGGTACCCCTTCATCACGACATGACGTTACATAAATACATGAAGTATTTTTCCCGTACCTAACGAATATAAAGAAGTGAAAAGGAGTAGTCTATTGAACGCATTTTTTTGTAATTAATATTAAGCTTTCACGAGTTCATATTTGTTTTCAATACTAATGAGAATATGTATCACTACTTTACTTTGGTAAATATTTATCATTTGACAGTTTAAATATGCTTGTTAATCGGAATTTACACCGCGTAAAATCAAACCGTACGCGCATCACCTCAGCGCATGTTGTTTATAACATGGGGTACCCAACGGGGAAATTCAGTGTGTATATTACCCGTCAGGCTCGGTAATATCAGTTTCGTTTGGGTGATCAATATCCAATCAAAAAGGCGGAAAAAATCAGGAAGGGTAATAAACGGCCATATTTTCGCAAGACATTTTTTATAAATAAAGAATTTATAAAACAACATAATTCATTTGATTCTAGAAAAAAATAACAGTAATAAAACGATTATATAGATAACGATTATAGCCTTAATGTCACGATTATCCATTGAAAAGTAAGGTAATGAACGTACAATAATACACGGTCATACATTAGTTATTAAATGTCCCCGAGCGAAGCGGTTTTAATTCACAGGTAAATATAATACATTTGTGTAATGTCTTCAATTTAGCAAAAAATGAAACATGCAAATGATGGTTTTATTTAATCGCACAACAGTTTCTAAAATAGTATATATCAATTGAATGTTAAACCAGTAAGACAATGCGATTTTGTGATCATTCGCATGATTTGTTTCAAAACTGTTTTAGTTTGTCCCCTTTGTCATTAAAACGGAAGTAAATGGAACAGCGAATTATGGAGGCATCTGTATGAATCTTCTGAAAGAATTAGCATGGAGACTTAATTTTACGTATGTATTTATAAAATAACTAAGAAAATGATACAAAACTGTCCCAAACAAATACAACGCAATATCACATTTGGAACATTTGTCAGTTCAATCTTTACAAGATGTATTTTACTCATTTGTTGTTCATTTAATATGTAGAATGCATTGACTATATATACTACCTAAAATGGTTCAAGGATATTGTTATTATGTTTCTTCAAAAATACCACATGATAATGGTTATTAGCTGGTATGAGAGCATTATGTTCTTTTATTTCTAGGTACACGTTAACAGAACCTCCAGATCAAACGTGGGGGCGTCCAGGTCCAAACAATACGTTTAATGGAATGATAGGACAACTGCAAAGAGAAGTTATTATCTCTATTTATTAAAACTAATTATTTTCCGTCCACTTTATTCACTTTGTGAATAAAACGTGTATTTAGATATGTTAGTTTAAGTATTTTTCGATTGTTTCATGTTCCATTTGCAAATGCTCAATGTTGTTGTTTTGTCCGACTCTTTAAAATCGCAAATCATGGGGCGGTATGAAAAGGTTTAGTTTTAAAATACAACATTGTAAGCAATTAATATACTATATAAATGTTGGTTTACACAATATTTGTAATCAGACACTTCCTACACATCTCATAATCTCATTCATTTTTTTCAATATAGGAAGTTGACATAGTTGCAGCAGATACAACCATTCAAAAAGAGCGGGAACTTGTAATGGATTTTATGTTTCCATTTTTCTATGGCTATACATCTGTTCTGGTAAAGAAACCGGACCCAAACGCTAGAAAATGGAGGACGCTCGTTGATCCATTGCATTGGAAAGTGCTTATGACCATCGGGATTTGCCTGCCGATAATGTCGTTCATTTTATCTCTTTTGGAAAAGTATGCTATTGTTTTTTAACATATAAAATCACATGAATAATAATTATATTTCAATGTTTTTTTGCCTCAGAAACAGATACTCTTTTTTCTTTAGAAAGGGCAAACATTGACTAATAACGTCTAGATTATTGCTTGCACGTGCATGCTATGCTTATCACCCGAAGAAATTAGTAGTTCTTATGAATAAGTTTATAGCTTCCAACACAATCGAATTAAAATACATTTGTAAAAAATAAAAGCATTTTTGAGGAGGCATAATGGGCTTTAACGAGGAATATCCTATATTTTGTAATATTTCTTTATTATCTTCTTGTATACGTTTAGTTGTAATTCTTGTATACGTTAAGTTGTTGATATTCGACTGTTTGTATGAATTTGTTTATTTTCAGAGTCCATTTTGAGTGGTGCCTATATGTTTTGTGATACTTTTTATTTTTTAGATATAATCCTTTTTACGCCCGGACTGATGATGGTTTTGACTATTCTTGGCTTAATGTGTTCCAATCGTTTAATCATTCACTATGGTACATGTACGGAACCCTGTTTGCACAAGGTATGTAGAAATATTAAACGACTATGCATTATTATAATTGATAAAAATTTGAAATTATGCAAATTATTACTATTGTCAAAAACATATTATATATCGTACTCTAAAGATTTATTAAGCAAAAAGAGAAAATTATAATTACGTTTTCTCTTAAAAACATTATTTTTAAGGCCTTTAGATATTGTTTTTAATATATCTCAATTAAAGTGTTTGAGATTTAAGCTTAAATAATTTGACAATAATTTTAAGATATAAAGAAAACTTTTTATGATGTCAAAATAGCTTTTTGACTTAAAAACTTAATAGTATGTGTATACTTTATAAACGCTTATTTTGTGTCCATTATTAAAGTCATGTTCAAGTTGTTAATATACATTCAGTTCCTGATTTGATAAGAGATGAAATCGAAATAATATCACATTGTAATAGCATCTATCAAAATAAAGAATGTTTGACAGTATTATACATTTTTATATTTCATTCTGCCACAGGCAGTGTCAACTTACCTCAATCTGTGGCGGGACGAACACTGATTTGTTCCTGGCGGTTATTTGCAATAGTTATTGTGGGAACATATTGTGGAAACCTTATAGCTTTCCTTACAGTGACAAAAGATAAACCACCGTTTGAAACCCTTGATGAAATGGCCGACCTAAAGGGAACATATCAGTGGGGCGTACAAAGAGGTACAAGCGCAGAATTTGTTTTTGAGGTAAAAGCTTGGGGTAAGGGGGTTAATTTTATCAAAGAAGCAAAGGTAACTGCCTGTAATTTAGAAATCGTGGGTGCGAGTCCTACTATGACCATGACTTTGTTACCTGTAATGTCAACGGTTTTGTTTGTTTAAGAAATTGAACACTAAAGTGATTCAAAAAAGCTAAAACACCCTTCAAAATTACGTTGACATGTCGCGTATTGTTTTTCATGATAAACATTCTTCCTAAAACACACGATAAACGTTGCAATTTACTCTTTGTGTAAAACATACGTATAATTACAAAACAAAAGACACATTAAAAAACTAAGATTAGATGCTTTACAGTTTAAAAGTTGTATTATGACTTTAATATCGTTTTTGTCTCTATAGATAGGTCATGTGAGAGCCAAAATTGAAAATTAATATACTGGCCTTAAAAACGATTATCATAGTCTTGAGTCTGAAAGTGTTTGTTGTTGTTGTTATTAATTTGTTTATTTAAGTATTAAGCCATAATATCATTATATAATTAGACTTCTAAAAGACCAGTATTTAGACGAGTGGGGGATGCAATAGCTGAATTTAGTAAGAAAGACCCAACAGTGTTAGCCGTTGATTTTGATGTTCAACTTGAAAAAGTTAAAAAAGGATAGTATGGCTGGATAGGTAAGTAAGCTGACATTAATCACTTTCAAAACATGTACTATTGTAGTTCATCGTTAGAAAAAAATGTAATAATACATTTCAATTGTAAGGACACCCTCCTGTTACTGCCGGTAGTTTTGCAAATATTTTGACTCAACACTCTGTGATATAAACTCACTTAATGTCAGTCCTCATATAAATGATCAATATCATTATGTTTAGAGTATAATATATATATCAAATCTGATATAAGAATAATTTATTTAAAAAGCTCGCTTTTATTGAAAAACTTGTTGTGAAAAATTGCAACAAAATTATGTCGTCGCAACGACCTTTGTAATAAATTATTACAAAATTCGTTTTATCGCAAAACCAGTTGTAGCACAGCCCCTATATTATATGCGTTTAACACATGAATGATATGACATTGTACCATATACATCATAGATATTTAAAGTGCACATAATGAGGTGTAAATGAATAATGAAAATAATAAAAATAACTGTGATAATACATGCCAATAATAATTGGCCAGGGTTGATTTTTAGAACAAGTGTGAACTTACAATGTATGCATTATTTATTTCGTGATTAAGGTGACTCTGTCGTTATGGAGTTTGAGATGGCCAAAGATTGCGATCTTATGATGATTAAAGACAAATTTTTGCCTCTTAGATATGCGTTTGGATTCACCAATAATTCACCACACGAGCAAATATTCACAAAGCAGTAAGTGTATTATCTATGAATGTATGATTTATATATATATAACGATCAATAAATTATTATTTTAAAAGGTTTTATAAAATCATATTAGTTTTCTTATCATGTAAAATAAAAATAGCTTGTTAATTATTAACATAAAATTTCAATGTATTTCATTTTATCACCACCATAATTTTTGCCAACCATTCACACGTTACCAATGTATTACTATTAATAGAGTTCATACCAATAACACGCAACGTGCATATCTATATAACTTTTGGCATTTAAACAATAATAGGGCATTTTTCTTAATCATTAAACCTATTTTGGAACCAATGCCAAAAAAATAAAGAAATCGCAATAACCATCAATAATTCTTTATGTTGTTTTTTCTTTTTAACAATCAATTAAACGTCTGTCATAATATGGGCACGCTCGAATAATCATTTGGCACAAGTTGAAAAGGACTGCATCTTGAATAATACCATGATTATAATTACAAAGCAAACAAAAAGTCAAAACAATTTTGGATGTATAATGATTTGAATTTATGCAGGATGTTAGTTATTCAGGAATCTGGATTAATTGAAGAATGGAAAAGACGATGGTGGACAAAGTCAAAGGCAATTTGTGCCGATTCAATAGTAACTGAAGCCAAGCCAATCTCGATTATAGACGTACAGAGTGCATTTTATGTAGCTGCCGGTGGTGCGGTGATTAGTTTCTGTGTTTTTGTTGTTGAAGTCATCATTGGAAAATATTGTCATGGTCGAATGCAAAGGAGAAAGTCTTGGAAATTCAAACGTGATTCGGTTAATTGATTGAAAATAACAACGGTGCATTTGGCATTGTTAATGTTTGACATACTCTTTTACGATAATTACCTACCTTATGAGCATTGTTGTATTTGATTTATTTCACTTTGTTGCATATGATATCAATATCGTATCATATATTTATTGTTTCATAACAGTTTAAAAATCCTTTGTTTGGTAAAAGGAAGTTTTAACACTTCAAATAAAATATCAATTTAGCCAATCATCTTATTCACTAAACACACTCAATTGTACACTAAGTCTTACACGTTTATACAAATGTAATATGGATTAACTTGAATTCACATTTTTGCAAATTTAGATAAAGTCGGAGTTTGCACTATATCAGAAATGATATATTTCCGCAACTGGAAGTTCGTTTTGAACGGCATTATTGTTGTGATTTCTTGGTAGATTTTGATATTAAATCTAATTCCTATCAAATTATTTCATGGTTCTATTATTCTTACCTGAGTACATTATATTTATCTTCGTTATCAAAAAATGCAATTGAACTATTTAATGATATGAACGGGATCTCACAATGACAATCTTTTATAATCTGAAAATTATTCATTACTTCTGAAAACTGATAACATTGCCTTCTTTTAACACGTTTCGAAAAGTATTATTGCTTAGAATATATCGAAATCAAATTGAATTTTGAAAAATCAATACATTACGTAAGATATGAAATTGATCAATTGCGTTATCAACCGATAAAAAATGAATTGATGTTTGTGTTTGAAAAATATTAAACTGTACGGTTTTTCGATAATAACCAATGCACATGAATCTATGTGAAAAAAATTCTTCCATCGAAACAAGTTTTATTTCAATTTAATTTCATAATTGTACATTTAATGTTTTGCTTATCAGTGATAATTTACACCCCGTTCGAAACAAACTCAAAACATATCCCCCAAATTATATTCAGTTACTTATGACTTTGAAAATAATTGAACATGACACAGTTTTCACAAATAATATTCAAAGTAGCCTTTGTACGTTTAACGAACTCCACTGAGGTCCAAAAGCCTAAAAACATAAAAATTAGAATTTCTTATAAAGATCTGGCGGGGTACTTGAAACAGGTGGGACACCTAAACCGGAAAGATTTGGAAAATATGATAAAGAAATATACCCAGAAATATACTGGAAATCATAATTTTGTGTTATTGAAAGTCAATGTCACGATACCATCCTTTATGAAGACGAAGAGAAATTTTTGTTTAATTTTCTATTTTTCGATTGTAAGTACAGATACCATTTTACTATTTATACAATATAATGTAGAAGATATCACGGACGAGACAGTGTATTATCAGACAGAATAGGTATTGATTCATCATGGCGTAGGGATTTAAGGTGAAGACAAATAGAGGGCTATAAGAAATACTTACAAGGATACATGACAGATACGAATGGAATCAAAATTGTTTTTACATATAAGAAACCAGATGCAACTGGATTAGATAATAAAATAACTATTAGATGTTTTGCTGTGGCAGAATGTACACCTGTGCACGAACAGAATCCGAGATCGTATAAAACATAGAGAGAAACAGATGAACTGCTTTGGTTTTGATATTTATAGTAATTTATGGCACAACGAATTACAATTGATTCATTATATCATATATATGATGACCAATATATCGATTTAAACTTTAGTTTGAACTAAGATTACAGCCCACGGATAACTAATGTGCTTTCCTAAATGATCTGCTCGCTATTGCCCTAGCCGCCACAAGTTAGCTCCAATTGTTATGCTAGAGACTGTCCAAAAGTGGTTTTAGTTATAAATTCAAAATATGCTCTTCGTCACCGCATAACTCGCTTTTAAGTTTTTCAGAGCACTTAAATGTTTATATATATGCAGAAAATACAAAATAAATTAAAAAAGTTAAATGTACGCAAACATGATATATTAAATCACTGAATATAAGAATTCTAAGCTGTAGTGATTTTTAAAGAAATAAAATTTTGTTGCAAACAATCATTCGTCTTCATTCATTGGTACATGTACTTGCATTTCCTTTTTTGTCGCACGTCCGTGAGCATTTATAAACATTTTTTTCTATCCCTGCTTTCTTTCGTTTGGACAAGCTGTGCAAAGTTAAAAGAACATCCGTTAATCATTATCGTAAACAAAGTAACTGGAAGACACATTTAGATAAAAGTTGCAATTGCAATACATGTAGAAATCTAAAGTCCATTAAAATCATAAGTGTTTATTAACAAGTAAAGCCCATACAGAGTTCATGGTCCATAATTATGTAGATAAAATATACGAGTATGCAGATGATTTTGATTGTGTGATAGAATTGACAATCGGTATTAAAAGGAAAGCAATTTCTCAATTATTAAAAAAAATACTTTATCAGGAATAGAATCATCTTTATTTTTTTCTTGTAGTCGATGCATTATTAACATTTAAAGGCCCATATTATGCCTCAGAAATGCTTATTATGCTATTTCTCAAAAGCCTTTGATTTTGGTGTCCAGCTTTTGTTTCCAGAATGTTACTGATTGGCCAAGTACCTGATACATATTTTGCTTCTGTTGCTTTTGATAATTAGTATAGTAATAGTAATATAGGGAAACAATATTAATTACTGAGACATGATGTGCCTTTAAAGTATCATGCTCACAATGACTATAAGTATTTTTTTTAAAATATATAGTCATGTAACTATTAGAAACAACAACAAATCAGCAAACGAACAAAGAAACAAGACACTCTTTAATGTAAACTAGACTTACGTCTCGCATGACTTATTCTTGTAAGCTCGTTGAGTGATATTCCAAATATGTTTTGAAGCGCAGATTCTATCCTTCCAACAATAACCTGAGACAACTGCATTTGTCGTGTTTTTATATATAGAAACGGATCAGCACATCTTTGTTCAATTGTCGACCATTTTGTGCATCCCCAGTCAATAGAAAATCCTTGATAGTCCGTTGCTACTACAGTCACTTTTCCTGACCAGTTGTCCCCTAAAATATTGTTTATTATATTGATAATGTGTCATTTTATATTTAAGTATGTGTAACTTTTCTGCTACAGTACTTTTTTGGTATAGCCCTGGCTCCAAAAATATAAATCCACTTTTTACCTTCAGGCAAAACATAATAAGTATTTCATTTGTAATAGATAGCAATGAATGCAACATATAATGTTGAATTTGCAAGGTATAAAGACATATTTCTAATTGCATATGAATGACAAAGACACATCCAGAACAAGAATGTGAAACGGTTGGCGAACAGTGCACATTTCACATGTGTACATTCGGAAAGCACGGGAATAACTTAACATTAAGGAGAAACTCGCCAATGTATTTTCTAACATTGAATTCATTTTCATAAGAAAGACTACATATTTAAAGTAAGAGTGGAATTCGTTTTACCAATAATATCTTTGCCGGAAAACTTTCCAGGGCCTGTCACAGTGAAAATCGATGTCATCTTATTACACAGATTACGATTTCTGTAATAAAGGTATCATATTTATATGCCTCATTAATCATTTAAAAGTGCATGTTCTCTCATTAATTATTATGTTCTATTTATTTCATGCCTTGTTTCAGGTACTTCTGAACACAATTTATATTTTGCTTAATACTGATACAGTAATAATAATTCTAACACACATACTATAGTTACCAAACAAGACATATAGATATGGCCGAATGGCCGAGAAGTTAACGCGTAGGACTTGTTAACTGGTAATCTAAGTATTACTTGCCTAAAGTTTAAACACCTCTAGGTGCAAGTCGTTTTTGTCTAGAGTAAAAACATTTACATTTACTTAGTATTGCGCATTACTGGTTTGATTCGAAGTTGTGATTATAAGCTAATGCTTTCTTCACGTGTAATCAAACTAAGATATACATGATTTTTATATATATTTGCATGTTCTTAGTATATGATAACAGAAACACGTTTAGGTCATCTGCCCGAATATTTGATAATTTTGCTTATTTTAAGAGTAGATCATCAATCAAGTTTATCAAGGCTTTTTCTCTGCTGTTCATCATGTTAATAATGATATCATATCAAATGTCGGTTTGCAAAAGTTATATTTCATTATTAAAAACGGCATTTCCATTATAATACAATTTCTATCATATACATGTACCACCGTGCCAATTAAATATATTTAAGTTTCCCAGTATACTGACCAATTATGTAATTAAAACTTTTCTCATGGATTCATGATTCAAAAATACATTTCCATCAGGTACAAACAATTGAGTGTAATCCGAGAAGTCCTCTGCAATCGCCCAACTACATGGTACCTTATGAAATTGATAAAACCATGGACCAAGCCACTGAAAAGTTAACAATAGCATATTTTATGTTCCAATCGCAAAAGAACTGTCAATCTATCATTGAATCATCATGAAATGCACATATATTTCATTTTTGATACTTGAAAATAAAGGTTAGCCAATTTCTTGGATGCATTTATATTGTGTTTAATATAAGTAGTTTTATAAATATAATTGTACTAAAGATAACTAAAAACAACCGTCTTCAACAGTAAGGTAATACGACAATACTTTATTGCCCCAAACCCTTCAAGAAGCGACTCAGCTTAGTTTCGCCTTAGAATAAATAAAGAAAATGAATAAACGAATAAATATAGATAAATAAATAAATACATAAATAAATGATAAAAAAATAAAGAAATAACCAACTGCATTTAAATTGAATCCAGGCATTGGCGGAGGCTGAACGCTAAGTCTTTCTTTGACAGTTCTTCGAGCGATTCCTGTCATAAAGGTAGGTACATTCTATCTGAATGTCTGTATTTCGCCCGTCGCTAAAACAATGGCTGCCAAAACCAGCACAACTATAGTTATCTCGCTCATTATCCTTTGTGATCTGTTTCATTTTGAAATAATAATAATAATAATTTTTATTATAATAATATATAGGTTTACTGTTGCGAATCCCAGGTAATCCTCGCATGTATCAGTGCTATTCACTGGACATGTAAAAGAACCAAGGAATCTATTCAATGAGAGCTTGGGACTGGTTCCCGGATTCCCTTGTATCTCATAGCTGTCTTTAGAGTCTGCTGAGGTAAGGACCCTTCTTGAAATAAGTGATTGAACTTTCGTAGGTTATCATTGACCGCTCGGTCTAAAGAAAATAAATCAATAATAATAATAATAATAATAACAATAAATTTAATAATGATAATAATAATAATAATAAATTTGAAAATACTTATAATAATGATAATAATAGTACCAGTAGGAATAAATAAATAAATTAATAAATCAATTAATTAATGATTTAATTTAATACATAGATAAATAAAATCACTGTTAACAGTAACAGTGTTTGCACAATCTTAACTTAAATATAACCAAACAGTCTTATAATCATATCGAGCAATAAGACAGCTGAAATCTAGCTTTTTTTTATTGAAGCAGACTCGAAAGTGATTAATACAAAATGCAAGAACTTGTTTCGCAATCGAGCTTAAATAAATATGTTTAAACCAAACCAAACCATAGCTTGAGTGATCAAAACTTGCCAGTGTAAAACATTTTGGTAAGCGAATTTTCTTTAAATATGTAATTTTAAACAAATTGGAAATTCAAACTTGTAAATGAATATAAATTGATTGCAAACTATCAAGATACATACATGTACCCATGAAATAAGAAACATTACTGTTTTATATATATACATTGAATTAAATATTTTCTAATTTTACGGGTGCATGTATGTATCTCGATAGTTTTCAATCACTTTATATTCATTTACAAGTTGAAAATTCCAATTTGTCTGTTATAAGTTATAATATCGTATTAATTTTAATAATATCGTAATAACAAAAATGAGCCAAATATTAAAGAAAGTAACAAATATATAGTCAATACATTCATAAAGATAATAATTTTTTTAAAATAAGAAGATCAAAATGCTTTTTACATACCTGAAAGAATACAGAAAATTTGCTGGCGTTTCGGCAACGTATCCGCTTGAAGTGCCAGATCAAATTACATTGCAGTTTTATATAGGTCAGCATTTCAAATTAATGCAAGTTTATTTCCTTTTATTATACAACAGCATCTGTAAATCAAATCCATCATTTTCATAATTTTTAAGTTCAGATGATGTATGTTATTGCACCATGCTAGTTTATACGTCTAGGTCTCATCCCTACCTTTAAATCATAAAACAACAACACAGTTGTGCATTTCGAGAATGGATTATTGAGAGAAACAGCATAAAGAAGGCAGACATAACCAAATTATATGCATGGTGAAACATAAACATGTATACATATTTTTTATATATTAATAAATACACTTGCAAGTGCTGCATTATTTAAAAGTAATTCGGATTTTAACAAAGTAAATAACAACACTGACAAAATTCCACAGTTACAATCATGAGAAACTTGTGCCAGACAATAACAATATGCAGACAAACCAAGTTAATCGCGAGCGGGCTGCGCCACCCTTCTGGAAGAATTACATATTGTATAAAAAATACCACAATCCAGCAGCGGCAAAGATGACCCAGGCTCTGTCCGGTCATAAAGCCGCTTTCATCAACTCTGGGTTTAGATCACATCTGCTCTGAGTAGCCATGAATTACAACATGCATAACAAAATTTACGAACATCAACAAATAATGCTTTTAGAACCATATTCACGATGCTATAACAAAGTCATCAACATTTCGAAAGACTAAATTTGAATTTGAAAAGATAATAGCTGTTCTCTGTGAGATACTCGATAGAAACTGAACATAAGTCACGCCCTGTGACTATTTATACTCCGACGCAGTCGAGCAAAAACTAACCAATCCAATTGTGTTACCACGGTAAGGACAAGATAACAATTATCCGCTAAACGTTGTAACGCGGATAATTTGAAATAATTTCGTAATGTTCGAATATACATACAGTTCAAAATGTAATATATACTGTACAATTGTCAATTTATTATATTAATAAAATAGCAAATAATGTTTACTCAAATATCATCACGATGTAATTTAACATGCTTAAGTATATTTTTTTAAAAATAGCGATATTTGTTTTCAAAGATATTGATAAGAGGGAGCGCAATACACTTAATAAACGATACTCTTGTCATCTCACTGCATAATATAATATATATTAGATCTGTTTTTATAAAAATTGACTTTTATTTATTTATACTATACTTATATCATGACATTGTTGTCATGTAAATTCCGATTGTACAATCACTGTTTAAAGATTGGCATACTGTATGAGTAAAATTTATCAAATCTTTTCTTGCATAGCAGACTGGCGTTTCCGTTAGTTTTACCCATGCCGGAAATTTCATCTGGCATGGGGGGGGGGGGGGTTCCAGATGAGTCGCGTGCTGTACAATGGCACGCTTAGGATGACGTCATTTTACCGTTATGAATGAAATTGCAATTTCATACGCTGTTGTAAGAAAGTAGTTACGGTTGTCTTGATATAAATTTCTATTGACAATAAAGATAAAACATTTAAAATATAATGGAATATGGTAGAATATGCAAGAAAAAATATCTGACATATGTTTGCAGTTCGGATCGGAATATCCGTCCCTCGGTTTCCCGCCCATGGGCAGTAACTCGGCAAGCCTCGTTACCGCCCAATGGGCGGGTCACCTCAGGACGGATATTCCAATCCGAACCGAAACATATGACAGATATTATTAATGTTATCTGATCTTATTTTATCTTGAAGTAATATAATGCCCATCCAAGGACAAATAGTGAGTCAACTAGTGAAAATAAAAAAGTTTTTATTTTGCCATAATTCCTTTTAATTCTATAATTGTATTTGGATAAACAATAAATAATGCAAGGGTCCAAGCAAAATTTCTATAACAGTAATTAGTATTTACCTGTAACGTTCAGATTATAAAAAAGATGTTGGTCAAACTCTTTTTTAACAGTCAAACGTTTGAAATGTAAAGACAATTCAGCTAAACTTGATTATGAAAATATGAGCATAATGCCACTTTAAATGGAATTCACTTAGAAAAAAGAATATAAAGATAATAGACATTGTAAGAAGAATTATTATAATGGTTGTTTTTGGAAAAAATATAGGGGTCGTCAACTAAAAGCCTTACCCACTATAGATCCTTATGTTACAAGATTTAGCGCGTTTTGAATTGACCTTATCAATATATTATACCAAGGCTGAGAATTAGAAGTTTTTTTCAATCATATGCTAACGAGTTTATTAAGAAACTTTTAAACTTTTATTTATTTCAAATTTTTTATGACACAATTTGCATACTACAAGAAACAAGCGATATATCAGTTTAGTATACAAAATATTATCCTTAACACACTTTCATTTGAATTTTAAAAAAGAAATAGGACACCATTCTTTCTAAAATAGTTACTTAAAATAAAACAGTCTGAAAAAGAAAACAAATAAATATGCTCTGAATCAAATTGATAATTTTATGTGATTTTAGTCGAGT